AATTTTTTTTTTTTTTTTTTTTTTTTTTTTTTTTTTTTTTTTTTTTTTTTGCAGTTTTTATGTTGTATGTGGGATTTAGGTACTACCAACAGAAATTGATGAAAGAAGGCTGGGTAAGTGAAGAAGAAACTACAAAAGTAGAGGATTATTGGCAAGGAAAAATTGGAGGACAAAGACAAATTGGGAGAAGATCCACTATGGTGGAAACAAGAAAGCAAAAGAAAACAATTTAAAGAGAAAAAATATATATATATCAATAATTGAGAGAATTTTAATAAAATCTTTATTTCTGACTGTACATAGTTGTTTGTCATTGTAACGATATTGGGGTTTCAACCTCTATTGCCTAATAAAATCTTTTACAATTCATTTTCAAGTGGAATGTTATGTTGATCTTTTTATGTTCTATATAGTCGAACTATCTCACCATCTAGCCAATAAATATATTATAGATTTGTAAACTATTTTTATGAAATCAGATTACTCTCAAGTCTCAATAAAAACATGCCAAACTTAGGGGCAAGTGCACAGATAACTATTTTTAAGGGTGTTATTTAGAGATTAGCCAATACTTATTTTGTCCTTAAATTTTAAACTAAAAATCTTAACTTCAAAATAATTCCGGAAATTTTTATCTTGAAAAATTGAATTGAAAACCTGAAACTCAAGACGCATTGGTTAATTCTTAAATAGCAACCCTTTAGAGTGGCTACCTGGTGTCATTTCTACCCAAACTTATATAGGCATATTGGACCAGACAAATAAAAATTGGGCCAACAAAAGTAAATATTGCGGGAAAAAACAGAAATAGCCAGATTTACTACTGGTAATTAAATTATAGTCACAATTTCAAAAGTAATCAAAATTTAGTTATTTTTTCATGTAAAAATAAAATATGAACAAAAATATCCTTAAATTTATACGCATGAGCTCCAATGTCCAGTATATTATGCTGAAACGTTTCGTGTGCTGGAGTTCCAACATAATATGCTGAAAATTATAAGCAGGAGCTCCATAATCCAACATATTATACTAGAACTTTCCGTATTTCAAAATAGTGACTATTTTTTAATGACTTTGTAAATGCTGGCTATTTTTTACTTATCAGTCCGAAAACTGGCTAACCCATATTATTTTCACGTAAATATTAGCTATCCGTCAGCTGGATAAACATGAAATAAGATGGTTAGCCAATTGGAAATGGTCACAATAGAGGGAGCAAGAAGGAAATTGCTCTAGCTCTAAGCAGGATGAGCTAGTGAACAGAGAAGATCTTCAAATTTTAAGCCTCAGGGATTGTTTGGTAGAGTGCATAAGAATAATGCTAGATGGTGTATTAGTAATGTTGGTATTAGTTATGTTTGCATTAGTTATGCTGACATATTTCTTATTCATTGTTTGGTTCGATATATTAGAGCATTGTACAATTTCTAAAAGAATTATTTGTTTACAAAAATACCCTCATAAACAGTCCATCACTTTATGTTTTTAAAAGAAACATATGTTGAGGAATGTTTTTATATGAAACGGGTTAAAAAAATTATTTGATTTATCTACCTATATTCTAGTGTAGAACTAAATTTTTTATTTATAAATATGCTAAGTATTTATTTATTTACTAGGAATATAATTTTATTTTCCACTTCTTGGATTATTTTAAACCTGCATTAATATAATAGCATATTTTAATCAAGCATAAATTCTGAAGGACAGTTTTATCTTTAACTAAGCTAATGCATGAATTAAAACTCAATGCATTGTTAATACCATGGATTCCTATTTCCTATATATTAGTTATGCTTATGATAATACCAATATAGCGTGTGTTCAGAAGAGGAAGATCAACATAGCGTGTGTTCTGGAGACTAGATGGAAGGGTAATAGGGCACGAGATTTAGACGGGTTTAAACTATGGTACTCAGGGAGCGCTGGAGGTAAGAATGGGGTGGGTATTTTAGTAGACAGGGATCTCAAGGAGCTCGTGGTTAAGGTTAGGAGGATAAATGACAGGTTGATGAGTATTAGCTGGTAGTTTGTGGGTTTACTATAAATGTGATTAGTGCATATGCTCCTCAGGTAGGTTTGAATGAGGAGGTCAAGAAGCAACTTTGGGATTATTTGGACGAGATGGTGCGTAGTATCCCGCACGCAGAGAAGTTGTTCATTGGCGGAGATTTCAATGGTCATATTGGGGCTAGTGCTAGGGGTTATGATGTTGTGCATGGCGGGTACGATTTTGGGGATAGGAATGAGGGAGGTAATTCACTGTTGGAGTTTGATAGAGCTTTTGATTTGGTTATAGCTAACTCAAGTTTCCCGAAGAGGGAAGAGCACCTGGTCACTTTTCGAAATTTAATAGGCAAGACTTAGATTGATTATCTTCTCTGCAGGAAATGCAATAAAGGTTTGTGCACTGACTGCAAGGTTACCCCGAGTGAGCACCTTACGACCCTACATAGGCTCCTAGTTATGGACATGGAGATCAAGAGGAGTAGGAGGAAGAAGGCGGGGTGCAGACAACCTAAGATCAAGTGGGGTAACTTGACCAAGGACAAAGCTCAGGAGTTAGGGGAGAAGTTATCGGCTATGAGGGCCTGGACGAGTATGAGGGGATGCGTCTAGTATGTAGTCCATGACTGCGGATTGCCTTAAGGTAGCTGTTGTAGAGGTCTTAGGGGTAAAGAAGTGTCACGACCCGAATTTCTCACCATCGGGAGTCGTGATGGCGCCTACTAATGTGAGCTAGGCAAGCCAATCATTAACTATTTATTTCATTACTCAATTACTCCTTTATAACAAATGTAAGGCGATAATAGGAAAACAACGGAACTTTAAATAATTAAGCGGAAGATAACGATTAAATATCTGAAATCTACGTCTATTACAATCACTTAAGTCTCAACCACCCAAACCTGGTGTCACCGTGTCACAGACGGTCTAAGATTTACTACATACAAAGTTTGAAGAAAGTGACAATACATTATTTCTGAATAAAAGGAAAATGAAACAGGAAATAGGAATAGAGGAGACGTCAGGGTCTGCGGACGCCTGTAGGTCTACCTTGGATCTCCGCGTGGACTGGAGGTAGCCTCCACGCTACGGTCCAAAAACTGCTCCAGGATCTGCACATAGTGCAGAGTGTAGTATCAGCACAACCGACCTCATGTGCTGGTAAGTGTCTAGCCTAACCTCGGCGACGTAGTGACGAGGCTAGGACCAGACTACCAAATAACCTGTGCAATTCAAATACATATACAGCGGAAAGAAATGCAGAAATAACCAATCAATATAGGAGGGGGAGCATGTTGTGGGGGAGATAACAATTCCGAATAGAAAGACATCAAGTAATGAAAGAAACAATATAACTCGGATATCAACAAAGAATCAGAAATCAACAAATGCACGGCATCACCCTTCATGCTTTTACTTTCGTCCTCACCAAAGCAATTATATAATAAGAATGTGCACAGCATCACCCTTCGTGCTTTTACTCTCTTTCCTCACCATATAATCAATAAAATCAACATGGAATGGTACATCGTACGACACGGCATCACCCTTCGTACTTTACACTCTTTCCTCATAATAATACACGATATCACCCTTCGTGCTTTACACTCCTTCCTCATAAAACAAACAATGCACTGCATCACCCTTCGTGCTTTACGCTCCTTCCTCACAAAACAAACAATGCACGACATCACCTTTCGTGCTTTAACTCTCTTCCTCAACCAAACAACAATCACAAACAATAGGGCAAGGTAATAAATGAAATTGCAATAAAGATCCCGGTAAGGGAACAACAATTCAACAAAAAAATCTCGGCAAGGGAACATTATCAATAACCTCAACATCCCGGCAAGGGAGATAACAAACAAATCAACAATAGCCCGGCAAGGGCGACAACATAATGATCTCTTCTCATTTCTCACTTTTACTTCATAATTCTCTTCACAACTCGAGTCAATGCTCTAGAGGTTCAATTATCACTTATACTTTCACAATTCGTTATGCAACTTGAGCCAACGCTCCTCAATATGCATATGTCGCAATTCCTTCCACAAACTATACACAACAAGTAGAAACCATTACCAAGGCATGAAAGATACAACGAAGTCATGATAATCACAATATAAGACTCACGGGCATGCTAGACACCAACGTATAGATACTCGTCATTATGCCTATACGTCGTACTAAATAATTACCACATAGCAAATAGGACTCGACTCCTAATCCCTCAAGCTAAGGTTAGACTAAACACTTACCTCGATGCCACGAACACAATTCACGATTTAATTATAGTTTTACCCCTTGATTCCATCACCAATTCGCTCTAGTCGAGTCACAAGTTACTTAATTACATCAATAAACGCTAAATGAATCAATTTGAATGCATGAAAATGAATTTTCCAAAGTTTTACCCAAAAGGTCAAAATCTCCCCCGAGCCCACATGGTCAAAACCCAATGTTCAAACCAAAATTTGATTACCCATTTCCCCACGAACTCAAATATATAATTTATTTTGAAATCAGACCTCAAATCGAGGTCCAAATCCCCAATTTTGAAAAACCTAGGTTCTACCCAAAACACCCAATTTTCCCCATGAAAATCATTGATTTTGAGTTGAATTCATTTAAAAGATGTTAAGGAGTGAAGAAATTGAGTTAGAAATCACTTACCAACGTTTTGGAGAAGAAAGGTTGTTTGAAAAATCCTTTCTTATGTTTTTGTGGTTTCAAAAAATGAAAATAACTGAAAATCCCATCTATTTATACCCCACTCAGACCTCCTATGCGGACCGCACAAAATGACTGCGGCCGCACAGTCCTTCCTGAGGATACTGTAGCCCAGTGCCCCTGTGCGGACCGCACAAAGTCGGTTGCGGCCGCACAGCCCTCCACCACGCACCGCATAAAATCTACTGCAGACCGCACTGGCCCCTTCCGCGGTCGCACACATTTTCTTGCAGACCGCACTGGTAGGTTCAGAGACCTGCAACTTCTCTGAAGTTGCAACATCTGCTTTTAAGCCTAAGACATCCCGGAAACTACCCGAAACTCACTTGAGCCCTCGGAACTTCAAACCAAGCATATATACTAACTCAATAACATCGTACGAACTTAATTGTGCAATCAAATCGCCAAAATAACACCATAAACATCGAATTAAACCTCACAATCAATGAAATTTTCTCAAAACTCCTTTAAACATCAAATTTCCCAATTAAGGCCTGAATTACGTCAAATGACATCCGTTTTCACCAAATTTCATAGTTATCTTTCAAATACTATAACAAGTTTATACCGGGCTCCGAAACCAAAATACGGGCCCGATAACAATGATTTCAAACATTAATTCTTTTCTTCATTTCTTAGATAATTCAGTAAAACCATTTCTTTCAAAAATTGATTTCTAAGGATTGGGACCTCGGAATTCATTTTGGGCATTCGCCCAAGTCCCATATTTTAATACGGACCTCCCAGGATAGTCGGAATATGGATCCGGGTCCGTTTGCTCAAAATGTTGACCAAAGTCAACTATAATCAAATTTTAACTCTAGAATTTCTTTTCTCATATTTTCACATAGAAGGCTTTTCGGATATAGGTCCGGACCATGCACACAAATCAAGATGAGGTAAAGGGGAGGTTTTAGGCCTCAGAATACTAAATTCACTTGCATTCTCCACCTCTAAAATAATTGTTCGTCCTCAAACAAACATAAGAAGGAAGTACCTGAGTCGGGAAAAAGATGGGGATAACGGCTCCCCATATCGTACTCAGACTCCCAAGTCGATGCCTCAGCGGGCTGACCTCTCCACTAAACACGAACAAAAGGAAAACTCTTCGATCTCAATTGACGAACCTGCCGGTCTAGAATATCTACCGTCTCCTCCTCATAAGACAAGTCCTTGTCCAACTAGACAATGCTGAAATCTAACACGTGGGATGGATCGCCGTGATACTTCCGAAGCATAGACACATGAAACACTTGATGCACGGTTGATAANACATACGTAGCCTATCCTGAATGATCCTGACCTTGTCCAAGGCATCCTGAACCAGATCCGTGCCCAACAACTGAGCCTCTCTCGGCTCAAGCCATCCAACCGGAGACCGACACCGCCTACTATATAAAGCCTCATAAGGGGCCATCTGGATACTCGACTAGTAGTTGTTGTTGTAGGCAAACTCTACTAAAGGAAAAAACTGATCTTACGAGCCTTCAAAGTCGATAACATACGCTCGGAGCATATCTTCCAAAATCTGAATAGTCCGCTCGGACTGCCCGTCCATTTGAGGATGAAATACCGTGCTCAACTTAACCCGCGTGCCCAACTCTCGCTGAACTGCTCTCCAAAAACGTGAGGTAAACTGCGTACCTCGGTCCGAAATTATAGACACAAGCACACCATGAAGACGAACAATCTCCCGGATATAGATCTCAGCCAATCTCTCGGATGAATAGGAGACTGCCATAGGAATGAAATACGCTGACTTGCTCAGCATATCAACAATGACCCATACTGCGTCGAACTTCCTCTGAGTCTGCGGGAGTGCAACAACGAAATCCATAGTGACCCGCTCCCACTTCTACTCAGGAGGCTCAATCTTCTGAAATAAACCACCAGGCCTCTGATGCTCATAATTAACCTGCTGACAATTCAGACGCCGAACCACATATGCAACGATATCCTTCTTCATTCTCTGCCACCAATAATGTTGCCGCAAATCCTGATACATCTTTGCAGTGCTCGGATGAATAGAGTATCGGGATCTATGGGCCTCCTCCAAAATTAACTCCTAAAGCCCATCTACATTAGGCACACAAACTCACCCTGCAATCTCAAAACTCCATCAACACCTAAGGTAACCTGCTTGGAACCTCCGCGCTGCACCGTGTCTCTGAGGACATACAAATGGGGATCATCATACTGTCGATCCTGGATACGCTTCAATAATGAAGAACGAGCAACTGTGCAAGCTAACACACGACTAGGCTCAGAAACATCCAACCTCACGAACTGATTGGCCAAAGCCTAAACATCCAAAGCAAGCAGTCTCTCACCGACCAAAATATAAGCAAGACTGCCCATATTGGATGACTTCCTACTCAAAGCATCGGCCACCACATTGGCCTTTCCCTGATGATATAAGATGGTGACATCATAATCTTTCAACAACTCCAACCACCTCCTCTACCTTAAATTCAACTCCTTTTGCTTTAACAAATACTGGAGACTTTTGTGATCCGTGAACACCTCACATGTCATGCCATATAGATAATGCCTCAACATCTTCAATGCATGAACAATGGCTGCCAACTCCAAATCATGAACCGGATAGTTCTTCTCATGAATCTTCAACT